TTTTGCTTTGTGTGGCAGCAACACCATCTTCCTGCTTACATTTTATTTAAATTAATGAAGTCCTTTAAAAAAAGAAGCCAAGGACCATGGCAGGAGTAACAACAGGTGGCCCTGGGTGTGTTTGATTTAAAGGCTGTGAAAGCACCTTCCATCTGATTTAAAAGGGAAATGAATGTAGTAGAAGCCATTTCAGCTGTTTTAAAAAAAATCCCATTTCTGGCAAGTGGTTGTTATTAATATGTGTCTTGATATTGAAATTGTTGCTGATTTGATGAGGTGAAAATAATACCTTATTTTAGGAATTTGATTCTATTACTGAACCAGCATAATTTAACAATAAAATTAAAACTTACAACCCTCCCATATGAAACAATTCCTATATACAATGAGAAACATTATTTAAAACATGAATATTAATAGTACCTAATTATAGGACCATTGCAAGGTATTATGATTAATATTTGTTATGGCTAATATGAGTACAACATCTTTTTATACTATAATTTTTAATACTGACATATATGTTATTAGCCATCTATTTTTGAAAATTATGGAAATAGATTAATCTAAGCAATATACTGTCTGAAAAGTATATATAACAATATAACAATAAAAATAAATTATTGGAATGTGAAGTATAAAATTAAGGATTTAACATATAACAATAGAGCAGTGCAGGGGGAGGCTTTGTCATGGCTAGCAAATTCTTGTTTTTTTTTTTAAATTGTGCAAGCTGAGAGACAAAATTGACAAACATTATAGGCTACTGTGGGAGAACAATCTGAAAGAAATAAAATTAAATTAAAGTTGTAAAAGTCATCAGAACGGACTCATACTTACAAGAAAAAAATCATAGAGATATTCTTAACAATTAGAAATTGAAGAAATCCTAGAAGAAACTCTTAAGAAAAAGGAAGAAGACTGTATTTTCACAGGAATGTGTTTTTCTAATGTGAATTTTAAATAAAATCATCCAATTGCTCAGACATTTGACCCATGATTACAATAATATAGGTTTTGCTGTAGGAATGCTCCTCTAAGTCATTTAGAGAAAATAAAAGTTGGGATCAGGTCTAGAACTTCTAATTGGGATCACTTTGACCCTGAAGAAAAGCATGGAAAAGAAGGTCCCTCTTGTGTCAATGCAGTGTCAGTGGAGCTGTTCTTCTAATATTAAGACCCAAGGAAAGTCCATCACTGTAAATGAATGATACAGGTATCTGACATTATTTTCATTGAACAATGAACTTCTGACAATATTTCCTGCATTACATATGGACACTGAGCTGCTGATGTGATCCTGTCCTATTTTCTCCTTCTAGAAGACAACCAGATTATTTTATACATAAGGGGATAATGCATTCAACATTGATTTCAGATTGTAGATTTCTGAAGTTTCCACACAATAGCATCATGAGACAACAATACAAATGATCTGTTATAAATGTTTTTATAGGAACAGCTTCAGAAATGTGATCTTGTTTTTTTATGAATTTAACACAAAAAATCAAAAATCAAAATGAAATTTCTTCACTTGCAGTATGTCCAGTATGAGCTTCTGGCACGTCCTGCCCTTCTTCTTTGCCATTCATGAGATCAACCAGAATCCAAAGCTGTTACCAAACATCACCCTGGGCTACAGCATCTATGAGAACTTTTTCAGTGCAAGAATAACTTGCGATGTCATGATGGACTTGCTTTCTGCAGGGCAGGAGAATGTCCCAAACTATAGTTGTGGAAAACAAAATAATCTGTTGCCTCTACTCGAAGGGACTGATTCTCATCTCTTTAATCAAATTTCCACCATGCTGGGCATCTACAAAATCCCACAGGTATAAATGAATACTTTGCAAAGTCTCCTAATAGTCCAAAAATATCAAATAATAAATAAAATTAGTGAAGCAATGGAGTTTAAAGAACCCCTGAAATGGTATCAGGCATTCAAATAACTATTTCTTCATTCTGATATCATTTTTGCAGCTGAACAAATCCTTATCCATTGTTCAACTGAAATGATCTCAACCATCTTGCACATTAAATTTTCAATCTCTTGGCCAATTCTTCATCTGCCTCTTCTCCCTGTCTGTCAGTCATTGCAGTCACAAGACCTGGGAGAGAAAAACATCTTTTCAATCTTAATTGAAACAAATCAAAGGAAAATGTCAAGGACTGTACTGGAAGAAAAAAAAATGAAAAATATTACGTGTTTCCCTATTTATTCTTAAAGATATTTTTTTTAAGAAAACCACCCAACTTTTTTCTCTCCACTGAGTTCACATATCATCCCATCATTCCCTGGGCATTACTGAAACATGTATAACTGAGCTGTATATTAGAGTTTTGTTCTTTGCTCTTGTACTGCTCATGATGTGAAACAAAATCGTTACATTTCCCCTTCCGTAATTCTGGCAGAAAGATGTGATGACATCTGGAATTTACAGGCAAGTGATACCAGACATTGAGATGACATTTTATGGTAGAAACTCAAGAACAGATGGAGGAACAGCTCTGATATGTAAGCACTATTTTTTTTTCCTTAAAAGCAAAGCAATCAACCATCTTTTCTGGTTCATCTTAGATCAACTATGGGGTCATCAGCCACATTCCAGAGCAGAAACATCATTTCCCTTTTTTCTACCGAGTGAGTCCAAAGCAAGAACCTCCTCACTTGACAATTGTTAAGTTGCTCCTGCATTTCCGATGGACGTGGATCGGCCTCACTGCTCCGGACAATGAAAGCGGAGAAAAGTTCAGAAGAACCTTTGTGCCAGAAGCCGTAAGGAAAGGTGTCTGTGTTGCCTTCTCAGAAAGCTTACCCACGGTTCTTAGAGCAGGGATGGAAAAGGACGTCCTTCAATATTTTAGCGACACTAAAGTGAAGAGTATTGTTTGTCAGTTGGACTTTCAGGCCACAATAATACTAGCAGTAGTAATAAGAGAAATTGACAATAGTGAAATCCTGTTTGGGGGAAAAGTATGGATTGCCACAGCTTTGTCAGGTATAAGCGTGAGATTTTTTTATCGATTGCTTAATCTCCAGCATAAATATCTTTTATTATCCTTCTCAACTCAGACAAAAAAAAGGACACAGTATTATGATTTTAATTCACATTACTCTGCTACTAGTCAGTTTGGGGAGGCAGCATTTCAGTGTTCTTATTCAAGTCCTTTGTTGTCTAAGAAAGTTTGGAACAGCTGCCTGGAAAAAGAGACCTGGGAAATCCCACCCCAGGATCTGGTTGAAAGAATCCTGTCTGAGGATGGCTCCAGTGTTTCCACAACAATCCAGGTTGTGGCCAGGATCCTCAGTGCTGCCTTTTCCTCCCAAATGAGTAAGAGGAAGCTGCATGTTGGGGATGTTAAGACGTTCCAGATTGTACAGCCGTGGCAGGTAAGACTTCTACTACAAAATTCCTCTAATGGTTTCCTTTCAACTCTTAAATGTTAAGTTAAAGATAAGCAGGAATGGATGGTGATGGGGGAATTCCAATAACAAGTGTCAGTTTCTAATACTTCTTCTGACCAGCTGTGGAAGCTTAGAGAGAAAGAGACAGATTCTGCTGTTGTCTCAGAAGAGACAGGAAGCTTTCATATATTTGCAAAATAAATAGGTAACCATCATATTCTGTCATCAATTTCCATCATTGGTCTGATGTATTTCCTGTCCTGCCATATCTTTCTTCTCAGCATTTTCAGAAAACAAGCACTCAGTTGACTTGCTTCTCACTACCACTTCCTGGTCACATAACCTGGCAATTTTCTTCTGCATTTGCAGGCTCCTGGGATCCTTTTATCTCTCTTTCTCCTTTGAAAATTAAATCTTAGAATCTGGAGCCCTGTCATTTCTCCCAGTCTTTTCACTTTCCACCACCACCTGCTGGTTACATAAAATACTACAGAAGATAAAAAGATTGCAGAACTCTGAAAGGCCATACAATATTATTTATTACTTATTTATTAAATTTATATGCCACCCATCTTACTGATAGAGCCACTCTTGGTGTCTTTTTTCCCCAATATATTTTTATTTATTTTTTAACAAAACATAAGTCACTCAATAATTGGTAAACAGTGTGTTGTCTGGGTTACATTTGTGAAACAATCCTTAACAACTAATTTCTATAATCTGTGTTCCATATATTAATTTTGGTTGATTTCCTCTTTCCCCAAAATATCCTTTTTTGCAAACATTGAGTTAATACAATTCTTATTGTTTTAATGAGTAACAATTAAATATATAATTTTTCCAATATTCCTAAAAAATAATAATCATATTAGTATAGTATTTCTTTTCTTTTCAGTCATTTTGGTTGCCTTATCATAAATCTTGTTACAATCCTTATTTTAGTTTATTTCTCCTATCAAGTATTCTAGATATTCTTACTAATAAAAATTTTCTCAAAGATTAATTACATTTACATTGACAGATTTAATTCTATTTTTTTCCATATAAGCCATCTCACACTTTTACACTTCTTAAGAAATAGATAAAAGAATGAAAAGAGAGAGGAAAAAGAAGAGAAACGAAAGGAAAAAGAAGAAGAAAGGAAAGCAAGAGCAACGGAACATAAGAAATAACATACTACTTAAAATATATATCCCTCCTAGGTTAATATATATTTATTCCTCAATTTCTTATTCTTTTTAACCATAGTTAAGAATATATTTAATCTTTAAACATTCCATTCAATGGGTCTAATCATCTAATCCCTTGACTCTGATTCAAAACATATTTATATACGGTACTTTTCTTAAATTCAGTCACATTTAAGTATCTAAAACATTTGCTTTATTTAAGTCGCAGAAAAGAAAGAAGCATACTATATTATTTAGAGAATTCATCCCTCTTAGAGTGATATATTCCAAAGTTTTTCTATTTCTTTAACCATATTCGAACAAATGTTTCTTTTTTAAGTATTCTCTCTGATAAGTCCCGTCATCTATTTTCTTTTTTTTTCAAATTTTTTTTTTATTATTTTCAACATAAGAAAAAAAAAAACACATCACAAGTACATCACAATTGAAAACCCCCCCGCCCCCCACCCGGACTTCCCAAACCTAATCCCAGGATACAATTCATCTAAAAGTAACCTTATATTAATATCCCTAACTCCACAAAATATAATTCTACATAAGTAGGTGAGATATATGTATATATATAAAAAGAAAAAAAAATTTTTTTTTATCTAAAAACCTAACCTATATTCCACCATTCTATGCTTATTTTGAATATAAACAATCCATCTTCTCCATATTGATAAAAATTGTTCATTTGAATGATCCTTCAAATAAGCCGAAATCTTTGCCATTTCAGCAAGATGCGAAACCTTCACTCTCCAGTCCTCTATT